AGTTTCTGTTCTGCACGGCTTTTCAAATTTCTTAGCCCGTGTGTGGAACTGAACTTGTTTTGTAGCCTCTTTGCAGGCATTCGAATTCTAGCAGTGTTGCCAAAGTATAAGAGTGGCAAATTATAAACAATGTGAATTCTGCATCCTTGCAACTGCAGATTGTCAGAATGAAGTTGCTGTCAGTGCTGTCTGGCTGGGGCCACATGGTACGGATTATCTGTTACTCGTAGCTAGCGATAAAAGGCGTAAAGCAACTGTGCAATGAGGCAGGAAACATCAGCGCTGCGCATTTACAAAACATGGAATGGGGAAGAAAGCGAACTGCAAGATGCAAATGGAAACACAAGAAAAAGATCACTAGTTACTACTGAACAATGGATTTTGTACGATTGACTACAAGCACTTTAGCAAGGTTGCACAAGCACCGTAAATCTAATAAATCCAAAATTTAGGGTTGTTCTGTCCACTGCTTGCAATTATTAGCTCGTTTGGATTAATATTATGGATGGGATGCCTATACAATGCAATTGTCAACGTCTCGCCATTCATCGTCTTTTGTTAGTTTATTTCAGACACATTTATAGCATACTCTTCTACATTTCTGCTTGTTACTGTCGCGCACGCTTGCGTCACACGTAAGGTCTTCACAGTTTGGCACCGCACGAGCTCAAAAACTTACTGAGAAACAATAACTGCAACTTTGCCAGAATATTTGTCATCCATCTGGGGATCGCACAGCTAAATCGATTTTCGATTTTTACTTACGCTACTCTTTAGGGCGTTCAAAAATATCTGTTGCGAAGTGGTGAGTTCGCTGATATATCAAACTGCTATAGAGCTGCTACCGCGAGCAAAAACACATATTTCCAAGAGGTCGTCTGTGTGGGAGTGTGTGTGTGTGTGTGTGTGTTCGGAAGCCAGTGAACTTTGTCACCCATTTTCAACTCATCAACGAGGGAAGCTGGGAGGCTGAAACATTGAGGACATATTCCCACCCGTATGTCACCCTCCCGTCCTAAAATCTTCCCAAATACGCGCCCAATTTTCGCGTATAGACCCCCGGAAAAAAATATGCAAATTTCTTTGGCGGTAAGCGATTTTGGGGACCAGGCAAGATAGAAAGCTGAAAATCTGTAGGGATATTTTGTGTGCCTATGTGAGTTAAAGTTTTCAAATTCAGTCATTGCGCACGCTTGTGCAGCGCATGCGATCGCGTCAAAGTTTGCAACTTGGTACTGTGCTGACTCGAAAACTTGCCGGTAAGCAGTGGCCGAAATTTTGTCAGCATATTTATCGCCCAATAGGAAATAGTATGCCTTAAATGAGTTCCGATTTGCACTTGCGCCACGACTTAGGGCGCTTCAAAGATATCTGTAGCGAACCGGCTATTTCGCTTACCGGATGATGTGCGGGGCTGATACTTCGCCGGGGTATTCTACTTTCAAGTGCGGTCTTAATCCTGCTTGTAAGTGGAATTCCCTTTTTCTCATACCCACCTGCAGGTGGGTATGAGAAATACTCAACTTTACCACATACTCAGAAACGAATGCATTTTGCAGCAAACGACCGCCTCGTCATCTTCCAACATCCAGTTCATTTACGTATTTGGATTTTTGGACGACCGCTTTAGCAACATATCCACTTTTCAGTGAATAACTGAAAATGGATGTTGGGAGAGGATGAGGGCGGTCGTTCGTTGCAAAATGCGCTCGCTTCTGAGTGAAAACTTCGTAAAAAGCTGAACGAAAACGCATGCTCGGACCGGCTGGCCAGGTGGTTTCCAGTTTGGGTTAATAGACTGTTTCGGTCCAACTGCCATATTTTAATGTATGGGACGGTACTTACTGGGTAATCAAAAGGCAGTTTAATGACATGAGCCTGAGGTCTCTAGGGTTCTTATTATTCTAAAAGCAGCTGTAACTTTATAATACTGAATGCTGTATAATAAAAGTTCGAAAATTTAAACAGTTTTAACAACTTTTTATGCGTTTTTTGCAGCTATGCAATGCAGAAAACGCACATTGACGAGAGGTTGTCTGTGTGTGTGTGTGTGTGTGTCTGTGTGTTCGTCTGTACCGATTTTTCA